CTGACAGCAGTAGGTGGGGGTGGTGAAAGGGAGAGCTATATATTTGATTTGTTTGGGTTTTTTTACCTTGCAGAGGAAAATGAACTCCTACAGCAAACTCTTCTATGCCAAAACAGCCATGACACATCACCTCCATCAATGCTGACAACTTGAAATTTGATGTAGACATAATTTGCACATGACAAGAAGGATTTGTTCTCACTTATTTTATTCTTCTGTAAATTCTCAAGCATGTCAATATTTGTGTTTGATATACCCAGAAACACATACAGATCACAGCAAAGACAACTACCTGCACTGTTTTCCACCAAACAATTCAAAACCCTAAAATCTCCACCACCACAACCCTTCTCAATAAGACATGACTTGGACACTGCAGTCTGCAGACAACAGACTACACTTCCCATTTCAAAATCTAATTTACTTTTAGCAGGACAAGGCAGGCTGATCATTTGTTGTGAAACAAAGGGAAATGCTCAAACAAATGAACTGTGTCCTTCTAGATGCAGGCACATTGTTTCAGTTCTTTGGAGTCCAAATTCTCCAGATCACATGGAGTGGCAAGCGGCTGCCAAGGCCAAGTCTGCAATGTTTAAAATCGTACTCTTTGCCTCATTTTTCCTATCATGGCTTTGTGCTGTTAAATACACCCTTGACCTCCAAGTAGTCTTAAAAGAACAGTCATCTCCATTATCTCAATCAATAAGCCTTTACAGCTGATGAAAACAAAAACAAGTAGCCCTACTGAAAGCTGAATGGGCTCTGCTCAAGGAGAGCTGCAGGGAGAGATGCAGCAGCACTGGGTGTCCTCATGGAGGAGGGGAGGTGTGCTTCAACATGCATCACCAAACCTGCACCCTGGTGCAAATCAAGCAAGCTGTTACCTTAACATGTTCATCTTAAATGCCTTAGCATGTATTTTGATCAACTTGCTGGACTGCAGCTTGTGTCATCTAAAATCCGACTCTAACACACCTTGGATTTTCCCAGCTCTCCTCCAATTTCTCTGTGCTATACAGAGGGAATCGCCCAGCAGCAGCAAAAGGCAGCCCTACCTATAAGTCAGCAAAGGAAAATTAAGACAACCAAAGGACTTCAGAGATACTTTTTGTTTTCCTTTGCACATGTGAGACATTGAGTTCAGCAGCAACATTTTTACAAGGGCATGTAGTGATAGGACAAGGGGGAATGGCCTGAAGGAGAACAGGTTTTAGATTAGGTAGCAGGAAGAAATCCTGTACTGTGAGAGTGGTAAGACACTGGAAAAGGTTGCCCAGAGAAGCTGTGAGTGCCTCATCCTTAGGAGTCTTCAAGGTCAGGTTAGATGGGGTTTTAAAGCAACCTGTTCTAGTAGAAGGTGTCCCTCCTTGCCATGGCAGGAGGGTTGGAACTAGATGATCTTTAGGGTCCCTTCCAACCCCAACAATTCTATGATTTAAAAGACTAAATTAACAGCTAGCACACTGGAGCCATATAAGAATGGCAAGGAGAAAGGAGCACCAGATCTGGGAGATGTGAACTCCTCTAACAGTAAGATAGCATCTCCTATAATCACAAGATCTAGGGAGCAGGTCACCTACAAAAAAAAAATCTTTCTATGCTATTGCCCATGCAACTTCACTAAACTGAACAAGAAGCTCCAATAATCCATCCTGGATTTGGCTGCTGGCAAGAACACAAATAAGAAATGCTTCAGCAGCTGGGAAATATGAGGTACCACTAACACAGCACATACTGCTTAAATAAACTAAAGCAGAACTTTCATATGAAAATTTATTTATTTAGACATTGGATATTTTTTCCATCACAGGAGAACAGAAGGTTTGAATACAGCATGACAAAGGGATTCTTTGAACAAACAGCAGAGGGGAAGGCATACTGCTTGTAGTGACGACAACGTGCTGTAGGTAAAGACAAGGGCAGTCCCAGGGAGAAACAGGATACCCTGCTTGGACGTTAACCAGCACAAACTAATAAGTGGCTCCTTTCAACAGTTTCTTTCTCATTTAAGAACTGCACAAAAGCAAGAAGATGCAAGAACAGAGCTTATATGTAACACTGACCAGAAAGAAATACCTGGTTTAACATTCCTCGAGTGATTTTTTTTTTTTTAAATACTAATTTTCTTCTTATTGAGCTGTATTACTGTCTTGTTACTAATGGGAGAGGAATGAATGTATGCACTTCTGTGTTGAAAGGCAGCCTGCTCAGCTGGGACATTTCAAGAGCATACACTCTGTTGTACTCTGGTAGGGATCCCCATTAAAATCATTGAGCAAAAGCATGCACGCATTTCTTAATTCAACATGTCATCCCTCTAAGGCCTGGGGACCTCACTTCAGCAAGTATTCTAAAAGCATTTTTTCAAAGCTGGAATAAACCAACACAACTGATGTGTCCATAATAATCTTGTTTCCTATTACCAACTGGCACTGATTTCTACCATGTAGTAGTCTGTTTAATAGCCAGAACATGGTAAATATAATTTGAATACAGTTTATGGTTGTATTATTTTTCGGTCTGGCTTTGATCTTCTTTTTCTCTTTGTTTCACCATTAGGATCCTGTTTCACTGGGATTTGTTTTTTTATATTTAAAACCAAAGTCCCTTTATGTAACAGCACTTTTCACACATTCCCTATTGCAACAAAACAGTACAGACCTTATCAATATCCCCAAATGCAACAAATAATGAACTGCTCTATCTGCCATCAGGTGAGCAAAAAATTAAACATTTCCAAATCCTCCTTAGCAATGCATCCAGTATTTCTTCTACAAACTCCTCATTTCCAATGATGTTGCAAAACTAGCAAATATGGTTCTTGAAAGACTTAATAATAAGACTGTTTATATAATTACCCCTCTTCACTTGGACTCTACTCGGGAGATCTCAAGTAGTAAGCCTGTTGAACACCATATTTTAGAAGCAGTCATAGAAAATTACCAACTCTTAACAGATTTAAGGAAACATAATTCATATGAATGAACTTGGGGGTTTCTTGGGGTATTTTTAAACACCCATGGATGGGTGGTAACAGTCCTCAGAGCTGTAAAAGACTGGAGGAGAAAGCTGACTGTCTTTCTCCAAGTCCACTGAAAAGTAAGAAAACTGCTGCCAACTTGCAGAACTTTCCAGAGACAGGATCATGAAACACACCACACCAACACAACAATTCCCAGGAAAGCAGTAGGGAACCTTTTGCTGAAGGTTTTTCAGAGACACATTTTGTTTGGTTTGGTTGGCACAAACTTCATGTCACTGGAGGCTAGGGGGATGACTCGCCAGCTAACCAGGCAGGCCTGTCTTCATGATCTACAGCAAGACCAGGGGGGACAGATGTGACTTAGGGGACGACCAGGAAGTTTGCAGATCCTGGGTCAAGCAAGTAACCATTTATAGAGTCCAAAGGGCTTTTGAGGAGAAGGTGCCAAGATGACACTTGATTACTGCACAACTGTCACCAGCACAGGGGGATACTGCAAAACCACCGGCGCCCTCCTTGTCAGACCTCAGATGAAGAAGGGTCTGGGAGCTCCACCTAAGAGGCTCCACCTAGGAACTCACAGGATGCCACCATCACACTGCAGCTGTGCAGGGCCACCACCTGCGATGCCACAGCTGCTCTTCATCACCAAAGCCCTTCCCTCCACCTGCTACCACTGCGGGTTTGGTGGCCACTTTTGGAAAAACAGTTGTGCTAGCTTGGTTTAAGAGAAGAGCTGTAAGAGCTGTACAGTATCTCAGTCAAAAACATTTCCTCTATTTGAACATTACAAATATGCTTACAAGTTTTGCATGAATAAATAATAAAATGTAACTTTTTTACAACTCAAAAGCCAATGTTATGGGCAAATGTGACATTTTGATTTGGATGCATCACCAAAGCCTATGTCTTGTCTGGGACTTGGGAAAGAGTTCCACTCAAAACCAAACAAAACAAAAATAAAATTAAATAGCCTAAAAGAATACATAGGTCATTATTATTTCAAAGCCACTGAAATCACTGCAGAGGTACCAAAGTAACACAAAGTACAAGATTTAAATGATTTAGAGTAGAGCATTTAGGAACATGTCCACTTGGAGGTTAGAGGGTACAGGAGGACAGATATCCAACACCTGACTCCATCTTCTACCCTGCTTATAGCCCCATGCATTAATTACAAAAATTACAGATACATGCTGCTCATAATTATATATAATATTACTAATAACAACATAACAAAACAGATATTCCTAAAATATAATCACAACCAGAAGTGAAATAGAATACTGAGGGATGTCAGTATGGGCAGAACAAAACTGTCTGGAAAGCAGAAGTAACATAACATACTTCTATTGTACCTGTGTGTAAGAAACCTTATTGGAAAATTTATCACCCATCCAGAAAGCTGAATTGTAGTTTAAAAATAAATTATTGCACAAGAAACAAAAGCAAAGGCAAAGTTTGATTTCAATGTACATGACTGAGGACAAAGCACTAAGAATGCAATTCCTGTGATAAACTCTGTGTGCAATATTTATGCACTGAAGAACAGCAACTAAAGATATTTTAAATATATCAAAGGTCAGTAACCTACCAAATGATGCTGATCTCAGCACCAATAAAACTAATAGGAATTGTGAACTCTAGAAAATTATAATTTTCTTGATAGTCTTAATAGCACATAAAGACTTTTACACAGACAGAGCATAGAATATTTTGTAGAATCCTGGAAAACAGATATTTAATTATGCTTTCTCAGAGGCCACATATGATCCATATGATTATAACCACGACGTGCGTAGCACAAAATCCCTTGGAATAACTAAAAATTTACATGCATAGAATCCTGGGGGAAGTGCATCACAAATCCTGCTAGTTCTGAGAAAAATATTATTTACTTTCTCTGTCTCATACTCCCTTGATATCATACTGCAGATCAAGATTCCAAAACGAGTCATTTCTGAGGTAGCCAGACATATTTGACATACATGGATGCTCGCAAGGAGCCAATACTCACAGCTGAAGATGCCTGGAGGTGGATGCTCTGTTACAAGCAGGCAGTTCTCTTCATCACTGTTATCCCCACAGTCATTCTGTTGGTTACAAATCAGTGAACCAAGATACAGGCATTTACCACTGGCGCAGGTGAATTTGCACTCTGAAAGGCAAAAGAAAAAAAAAAGTGAGAAAATTGATGCCTACCCTTCTTCAGTGCTAAAATGACAATCTTTTCCAAGTAGATGCTATAATGGTGGGTGGGTCTCTGGCATTTCAACACCAACACAAACAATTTTGTCCTTACAGCACTGCATGTATAAATATATATGTGATGCATTTCTGATCACCAGAATCAAAACATTAGTAAACCAGATTTGCCACTTGGGAAAATTCACCTTTTTTAATAATAAGCAATATTTTTTGCAGTTCATGTTGATTATAGTTTACTTTGGACAAAGACTGTGTTCTCATACATGTTTGTGTGGCACCTTGCATATCTGGGGCAAGACAGCACTATTAATAAAAATAATAATTGTCCCACATTAAAAAAAACAATCTTGCATCAGCTGTAAGGCAACAGTATAGTTTGTAACCAGGAACAATCCTGTTCAGTCACAGACAATTATTCCTTAACTACCTTCCCAAAGCCAATTTGCCAGTCTCCCACCTAATTACAGTCAAGCCCTTGGTGTCTGCACATTAGAATCCCACATGCTAGTGTTCTTTATAAGTTAGTAAACTTCTAAAATGCCTATAAGATGTCTGAATGCTAAATCAGGCATGGTGTAGCTTTTACACTTTGTTTTTACAAAAAAGAGAACAGTTTCCCCTAAATATGATTCTGTCATGAGAACAGTTCCTATGAGACCAAGTACACTTTATAGCAAGTACAGGAGATGTAATTAGGAAATATTCACAAAAATATACACACAATTATGAAAAGCTTTCTCACTAGGATTGCTCCAAAGTAAAATACTTGTACAGAACAGAGAACACACTATATCTAGACAAACTAAAATTTAATGATTACACTGCTAGTATGTTGACAAATTCTGGTGATTGTCATTCACAAACAGAGGCAAAGCAGACAGAATTAGAAACTCTCACAAGCAGTTTATTAAAGGAATGCCATTCCCAGAACCCTGGGCTTCCCTAGCACTACAGTACAGGTTGGCTGATTCTGCTTCAGAGAGATGATTTCTGGTCCTTCCCAGCAAAGAGGCAGAATTTGTTCATCTTCAACAGCATCAGCAGAAGACCTTGCTTTAATCTTAACTTAGTCTGAACTGAGCCAACAGGACCTCCAATTCTAAAAGGTCCCTAAATCAGTTACCGAGGTGTGACACTTAATCACACGTGTCTGTTACATAATGCAAGCACGGTAATAGCAAAGGAGCGGAAAAAGAAACTGAGAAAGGGAGCGAATTCATTCTCATTTTTCATTTGCTTTATAGATAAAAGCAATTTGCAGACTTCACTCTGAACACTTTTCAAGAGTATTAATGATATTTTGGTATACATACCAGCAAGAGCCTGCTGCAATAAAAAATTGTATGCATAAATATGTGTAACATATAAAATGTTACTTAGGAATATAAATAGAAGGTATGGAAAGCAAGGAAAATAAGCATTTCCTGAAGGGGAAAAAACAGATCTATTTTGCTTGGTGGAAGTGTACTTATAAAATAAGTATTTGCCTAAATGAGGTCCTCAAATTTAAGCTTTTTTTCAGTCCAACCCTGCAGTCCCTAACCTATTAATAAAATACTGTACAAACAAATTATTTTCTTCTGTTTGTTACTCTGTTCTTCTCTGCAACAACAAAGAACTGAAGAGGTTTTGAAGGGCTTAGATTCCTTCTGAGTATAGACTATAAAAAAAATCATAGCCAAATGAAGTAAGCCTTTGAAACCTGTGGAACTGAAGAGGTCATTAACAATTACTTCTGACTTAAAAAAACAGGCTCAATATTAGCAATCTGATAATTACAATGCTTTAGGACTCATTTCTGCAGTTTCATAAAGAAACTGGAACAAGAAATGAACAAAGCTGTCTTGGAAGGTTAGAAGAGTCGCCTTGAAAGGATTCAAACTTCCCAGGTATCTTAAAGGAAGAATATCACACCGGGTTAAGTTAGAGTGGTAAAGAACATAATGCTTCTATTAGAAAGAAACAATCACCATACTGCAGTTAGAAAATGTGGCATGCTACTTTGGCTAGCTTTTACTGCTTTCCTGTGCCTTTGTGTTGAGTCCTAATGTAATGCTTTCCATGCTTCCCCCCATGGCTGATGTAAAATGCTCAAGCAAGATGTCAAGTCAAAAGCAGTTAAAGCAAAGAGCTCAAGGTGTCTGTTTGCCACCAGATTATACAGTTTTCACACAAAAGACTAGACGAAGCATTACATTTTTCATAGCTGTATTAAAGTCTTAAAAGTTCTGGGGTTTAACTAACATTATCGTAAGAGGACTAACCAGAAGAAAGGATTTGTGATTTAAGGTGAAGTGAGGGGGTTGTCATAGATAACAGACCACACTGAAATTTAGAATCAAAAAGCAGACTAAATCAACTTTTCTTGTAGAATATTAAGGATACTTCCTCATTCCCTCACACATGTGAAAATAGCCATTGTGAAGGTGCATTTTAAAAAAAGTGTCATGAGGCCTCTTGTCCCTTTTTTGTTGTGCCCACATTGACTGGAACATTGCTCACAATACCAAGGGAATTCTGTGTTGATTTGAAAATGGGGTGTGTTGTCAAAAATCATGTTGCCTTCTATCTCCTACCAAATCTATTTGCCGAGGAAGCACTCATCTTCTACTGGCCCTGGCTGGGATGGAGCTAGCCTTCTTCACAACAGACCCTGTGGTGGCTATTTGGATTTGTGATCCAAACAATCAGTGTTGGACAGTGTTGTAGGACAGTACTGATGTCACAACCATGTTTTGGTTAGTGCTGAGCAGTGCCTGCATGTCCATGGGGCTTCCTCTTTTTCTCACTCACACATCTGCAAAAGTAACACCTAAATCTAACAAAATGTAATATCTAATGGAGGACACAAATTTGCAAAACTTCGTCTGCATAATTACATTCTGTTGAAGTTTAAAAGAAATATTCAAAGAAAAAATGTATTGCGGGAATAGGATAAATTAATTAAACAGATTATCCAATGAGAATACAGATACTTCTGACCACAGAATATACTTAGCATCTGGTATTTGCAACTTGTGAACAAAATTTCAGTACCTTAAATTAGTTTGCTTAGTGAATGCATTTAAGCACTATTTTTACTAAAACCAGAGAAGAACCATTCCTTGTAAAGCAAAATGGGTCAAAGTCAGATTGAGGGAGGTAGCAGAAAGCAAATATTAGAGTATTTTCAAACTGAAATAAACCTGCAGAGGTCTGTACCAAAATACAAGAAGTGACCTCAAAACACTCTGACCAGGTAATCCAGACCAGTCCAGACTAAACCACTATGCCTAATGACACACCAGAGAGACCTTTTCAGTACAAAGTCTTGTACTTGGCCTGTCTAGACAAGACAGGGGGGAAAGATCCTGTTCTGACAACATGCCAGCATGATCCTTCTTTCATGAATAATGTTTCAAAGCTAGACAGTTTCCCTTTTCATTTTCAAGTGGCAATTAGTGAAACATCAGTCAGTTGGTCAGCAAGGCTCTGACTACAGCTAAACCTGAAGCAAGACGACAGCTACTGGAGGTTGAAAATATCAACCCTTCTTATAATTATGTCTTACTATGTTCATAATTATGTCTGGAGCATACTTTAAGAAAAAAAAACTATATGATACAGTGGTTCTTCAATATAAAATTTTAATAAACGTACTTCCAGGTAGAACTTGACTATCTTGAAAAAAAAGGAATTCTAAGGATACTATTATGAACATTTCCTATTTTTAGAAACTGAATGCAAGTAGTATAAATACATATATTGCACACATGTTCAAGGTAGATGCCTGAATGCATAAAACTCTCTACAATTACCAATATACTACTGCATTTTAAATAGTTTCAAATAGTTAATTGAAGGTTATGTTTCTGTTGCTACAGCAAAATATGGATTTGCCTCATGATACAAAAAAACTACCCTGATCAGATTTTTTACTGTGAAATGCAAGATCTGATTTATTGGGTAGGCTTATTTTATACTTTCTGTGCCTAGCCAACAAGATAATTTTATCCTTGCATTCAACTTAATTCTTTTAGACTTCATTTACACTTGACTTCATCCATATGAACAGCATTCCCATTGTTTTGTCATCCCACTTACCGCAGGGCATTTTTAATTATAGCTAAGTGCTGTTTGTTTTTCTAATGTAAGCCCAACCACGGGCCAAGGAAAAAAAAGCAACGAAGTGTCATATTGAAAAAATATGGTGGTTTAGGCCACTGTTATGATGCATGTCACAGCTGCTTATTTAACGGGTCTGAGATGATTATCTGACCCAGGGGCAGAATTCTCTTCCATCCATTCGAATAAAAAGTAAAGAACTCTACATGCAGCCAGTGACTCCAAACTGTTGTGACCAAACTGTAGTAACACGCTTCAGACGCACAAAGTGAAATCCCAAGTGATGGCTGGGACTCCACCGGAGCTGAAAGGCACTCTCCCAAAATCCAGCAGACTGGCAGCTGCCTGGGTAGCTCAGCCAGCAGAGGGTGATCAAATACCCTACTGAAGTCATGGAAATGGAAGGTAAGGATCTCTTTGCCTCCAGGTGGGTGGACCTAGATCTGCAGAATAAAGGCCTAATTTCTAATTTCTCATATAAAGACACCATTTTAAGAACATCATCATACTTCCTCATACTCCTGCTCATATTGCAGCATGTAAGAGCCTGAAAGAAAATGTGTTTAAAGGGCACCATCACCTATTATAAGGCTAATAAGAGGCAGATGCAGTAAAATGGGGAGGGCAGGAGGAACCACACTTCACTAGAGATTAAAGAAATATAAACCACAAATACCAGAGTCAGTACAATAAAACCCTGTTCAGCCTCTCACAAACATCTGTCTGTGTATTATTTTTAATATTGTAGATTGTAGCTTTATAATGGGAAGTAAATCATAAATAGGAGACATGCACACAAGGAGCATGTTTATTTGGGAAAAAGCTTGGTTAATAAGGAAGATGGCA